GCACTCTGGCTGCCTGTACATTCTCCTGAGAATAATTAGCGCATTTCTGTGACCACAGTTATATAACCTAATTCGTGAGAATCTTACTCTCAGCAGCCTGTCTGGCTTGTTTCTCTTAGCTCAGATGGAACAAGGAAGGTAGCCTTTGACACTGTGTATTTTTAATCGCAGCAGACAACGGTTTCATGAAAGTACTTTTCTAGTCACACTTTCCCCTTTCCTCTGTTCAACTGTAAGAAAGGAAGAAGCTTCCACAAACATAGTCTATCAATTGTTAAAAGAACTCTTTTCCCTGATCAAATAACGCACTAATATGCTCATGGAATTGCAAGGCCTTTGCCTTTTCTAACCGATCTGTTTTAGATCACAAAGAATAACCGTGCTGTTGTTACAACCATCCTAGTCTGCGCTGAAGTGTTGCTTTGAAGTACTTTGCTTGTTTGGGATGACTATACATCCGGACAGTTTCTTTTCTTTTTCTTCCTAAAGTTCAAAACATATTTTTGCCAAATTATGTATTTCCTTTCTTGCTGTGGAACTATTCCTCAAATTGCTGACAAGAAAATATCCCCGCCATGCCACCCTTTCCTATCCAGTCCAGTGTTCCATATGCTTCCTTATTTATGGAAATACAGGAAAATCGATTATTACAAACCGATGGAGGTCTTGCTGAAGATCACAGCCTGTGCAGATTAGATTTGGGTTTCTGATTACTGATTATTTTTACAATACTCAGGAATGCAAATTATCACAGCTTCTACAAAGTAGGTAATACAGATGTTTCTTATTCAAAGTGTGTTTCTAGATACTACTAAACTCATTATTAAAGCATTATTTAATTTTAGGGAGAAGGTCAATATTCCTGGAAAAATCTGTCAATGTCCATTAGGCTAGCAGTGACACTTCATGCATGTATCATTTCAAGAGAAGATCAGTGCTTAATTCCTCATTAACACTGAATCACATACCAAAATACAGGTTAACATTTATTCACAGCAAGCTATGATGAAACAAAGCCAGAGGATTCAGAGGTCGTGAGCTCTTGTTCTTGAAGGCTCCGAAACCATTTACCTGTAGATTCTGGAAAAATATTGCTCCTAAGAACTCTTCACATCAGGTCAGCCTTTGGTAGGCTGTAAAGGTTAGGTAGTCAGGGATTAAAATATAGCTGATGCAATAAAGCAGGTAAGGATGATACTTATGTTTAACTATAATTCTGTTAACTGTTGCAGTGTTGTAAATCATTATTTTTAAATAAATATATTTATTTATCTTTTAGTCTTGTCTAATGATAACATTGATGCTCTAGTCTGATATTTACCAGGCCACAGCATTCTCTTGGGCACCGAGAATCTGTTCACCACAAGAAATCTTGCAGATTTTTAGGGTATTTATCATGCAATAGAACTATAACTTCCCACTATTTCTGCTTAATTCACCATTAAGGCCAGGAACCCAGTTGTAGCTGGATGATGGAGTAGAGACATCTTTTTCTGTGAATGCCAGCTTAAGCCACTGACAAATAACCAGACAGTGGACACAAAGCATGGAGATTCTGGTGTGTATTTGAAAGACGAAAAATGTTCCTGTAACGGTGTCTTATTCTGAAAAGCAAGTTATTTCATGATGTTAAAATGGCAAATGTGCATCACTGATGGACACAGTTGGAGAAATAGTAAGAATTAAATTTATTATTTCAGATTTATTTATTTTAATGTTTGTCTTTGAATTTTAACTTCAAAGGAACCTAAAACTGCAACTGGAAATTCAGTCAAGGCTGCAAACTCCTGCCTTGTTTCAGGTCAAAAGCTTAGAGAAGTGCTGGATTCTCTGGCCAAAGCAAAATCAATTTACTGACAGTCTCCACACACACTTCAGTAAATCCAAATTATCTTGTTCTTTTAAGTTCAGCAAAATTCACACTCATTAAAATCATCATCTATAGTTACAATCCCCACTAATGCAGTCTTGACTCCAACCTCTTTGAGAACTGCTGTTATATCTACTGCACAAATATACACTGAGAAAAGAAAAATATATTAAAATATGTAGAGTAATACTATTTGTTTTGTAAAATAATCTTGTATGTAAGTAAAGTGGTACTGAATGAGCGCTATCTATACTTAAACACTTGCCTGTCCCATTGAATCATGACATCTGCTAAATTCCATACAACCCACAATGCTCTTTAAAAATGTTTTCAGTTATTCATATACCACATATCTGATCATTCCAACTTCTCTCACTCCTCAGCATCTCTTCTGTTCCGCTACCACCACAAACATCAGAACTCAAAAGCAGAAGGCAGCACACCAAGTGTCTGAGTACACATAGACGCTGCACAAGTAGGAGAGGACAGATAGGGCAGATACCTTTGTAGCAGAGCTGAGACCCCAAACCTCAGGAAAGTGTAATTACAACCTTTGGCAAGCTTCAACAAAACCCCTCATTATTTGCAGCTATACCTAATACTGAAACATATTCATGTAAATACTGATAGCTATTGGCTGCTCAATAAAGGCAAAGTTCAGGTGGTCTCAGTTTATAGCTTTGTTTTTCACCCTTTTTTTTGCCATTAAACTCTATACTCTATAAAGGCTTAAGACTTCCCATATTCTGACAGGATTATCTATCAAGTGAGTAACTTTCTGCTCACCCTTGTTTTGTAAGAAAGATTTCCAAAAGTATAGAAACATACATGCTTGAAACTAAAGTTATGTTCTTCAAACACAGAAATGAAACAAAAGCTCAGCTGTCTGAAACTCTTCCTGAATTAAAAAAAGTAAAGGCTCTTGAACAGTGTGTCTACAAATGACCTGGACATCTGTAATCCCACACACTTTATCCATTCCATAGCTAAAGACAGGACAATATACTCCAAATCCCCCTTCTGATACTGCAGCTCAGCAGTGCCTTTTGCTTGCTTGATTGCATTATTTTATCCATAAAGGCAGGTGAAAATCCTATTAACAGAAATGTTCACAGCTCCTTAGATTATTATTTCTTTCCTTTGTAACAAATGTGATTTCAGAAAAGTGATGCCATCCATTTGTCCTTGCTATTTCACAAAAAGAAAGCTAAACTATGTTAGGTTATGCCTTAAAAGCTCATCTGCTCACCCACAGAGGAGCACAGACAGGAGCCCAGATAATACCCAGCCAGGCAATCCAGCATTCCAGTGTTCCTGGAAGCACCCAGATGCCTCCAAGCATCAGAAGCACTAGAGGCTGGGATCCAGGGCCAGCCACTGGGTTGACTGAATGCTGAGCTGGGCAGCCGGAAGGATCCACTGTGTGTTGCTATGGATGCTCAATTCACCATCCTCACTAGTGCACATGTATCCTGCTCTGCCACAAAGGTGAGCAGGATGAGGCCACTGGTGCTGTGCTCACATTCATACTCTATGATCTGTATGCCAGTCATGTACATACAGTGTGTATGGGCTCTGTGGGCGCATGCCCACATAGAATACATTTACAGCCTTGCCAGTGCTTGGACCTGGGCGGAAGGCAGATGCAGCATGCTCACCTCTGCAGCATCCTCACCTCTGGCAGGCTGCTGGATTCAATGTGATACAGTTTCCCCTAAAAAATAATATGTCTTTCCAGAGGCTCAGTAGCTAAAATGTACTTAAGTGAGCTTCCATCCCTGCATTCCTGCAGTTAAACATCTTAACATGCATAGGAATCATCTTTTCCAACTGGCTGCAACAGATCAGCCAAAGCTTTAAAATATTATACTATATGCATTATATTCATATATATATTCATATTATACATAAGATTTTTTTGTTTGTTTCACTGAATTACTCCCTCACTGTAAATTCTGTTTCCTTTCCCAAGATGAGGCGCAACCACAGCATCACTATTCACATTCACACTTGGTGGAAAAAGGGCTGCTCATGAAATTCCTCCTCCAAGCATTGGTACATAAATCTGTATTTTTAATAAACATTCATTTGTCTTTTAACTCCTTCAGTTTTACCAGTTCAGTAGCCAGACCACAGATAACTTTGCTATTCGATACATATATATATTCATAGTTACTATATAGAATATATTCCCTCTTACTTTTTTGTTGAAATGCAGACAACTGTGAATAGGCAACATTTTCTCAGTAGTTTGGGTTGGTTTTTTTTTTGCTAAAAAATAATTAATTCTGCAATTATCTTTGTAAAATTTTACAAAGCCATAGTTAAGTTAAACAGTAAAGTAACAAAAATCTGTATTTCTGTAAATCCTGGATTCAGTTTTGACTTTTCATCTGTTCAGAAGCATGTCTATTCTCTCCTCAATATTTAGGGGTTGTTTGCTAAGGAAAAGAAAGGACACAACTAAGGACTGGATATGTTTTCTGTATCTTCTACTTGTTTCAGAATAGTCTTCATAGTTGGAAATCCCACTTCTAGCATACAAGAGAAGGAACAGAAGACATGCCACTGACTCAGCATACATTGTTAAGAACCTATAAAAAGAGCAACTGTACCATTCTCCTTTCTGTGCTTTAATAGTGTAGGGCATGTGAAGCTCATAGGAAATATTCTTAAGAAATTCATATTGACAGAGTAAATAATGTGATTTCAGAATGGCCCAAAATCAGTATATGAACATTCTCTGGGGTGAGCAACCTGAATCAGTGTCTCTCTAGCAGGGGTCATGAGCTCTCCTCAGCACCTTAGTGGAGATTCACTGTGTCCATTTGAAAATCTAGTGTGCAGTTACTAAGAATGCATTTCTAAGAGAGAATGTGCAAGTAAGACAGCTGTACTGTTCTGGTCCCTTGCAATGGTGCAGCACAGCGCTACATAAATACATCCCCATGTAGATACGGTGGAGTATGAATAAACCAACACCTCCTTTCAGAGAAGGTTTTAGGATATATATATATATATATATATATATATATATAACCAGAGGAAGACTTTGACTTTTCATGTCAACCAGAAGACACCAGTGTCTTTTCTACTCCACTGTAATTTCAGCCCCCCCAGGATGGCTTACAGTTATGACAAGTGGCACCACTGTATCCAGTTCCATCGCAAGTGCACTTGAAGCTGTCCCACGTCTGGGTGCATTTGCCACCGTGTTCACAGTGATTGGGCACACACCTGTCAGGACAAGATGCAAAGACAGAAAGAAAAAACTAAATGAGCATCAAGATTTACACACAGGTACATTGTGAGCTGCCTGAGCAGTGTATCATGTCCTTGCCTTGCAGTTAATCCTCATTATTTCAGGCAGATTAACAGAATTTATACCTCAACACGCAACTGCACAAAAGGTGCTTCATCCAGGCCTTGTTGCAGCCCTTTTACAAACAGTAAAAAAAGCACAATCAAGGTGGAATACATTCACCCACCAAAAATTAGGGTTCTAAAGTACGTTTGACAGGTATTTAGCTGTCAACACAAAATGAACAAAATGCTGTGCAGGTGGTGTCATGCCTCAAGGACTGCAGTCCCACAAGTGACTCAAAGTTAAAGCAAGAATGCGAGTGAGCTGCTGTTCATCTCCTTGTTGCCAGCAATGGGAAAAAGTCGAAGCAGACTGCCTGCTGGCTAGGATGAAAACTATTAATGCTGCATTATTAAAACAACTGGTTTCAGTATAGAAGCTGTACATGTTTCTTCTTCACAGGGATTTGCAGCAATGGTTGCTCACCTTTGTGCCACCACCTGCTTTGCTGTTGCTGGAGAGTGTAAGGAATGCAAACCCCAAAGTCATAGCAGAATATATTGTTTGAAATATTATCTAAATGTGATTTCAAAGATCTGAGTTTGTCCAGTTTCTTTCCTATCAAAGATAGGTGAAAATGGAAATTGCCATGTTCTCTCACCTTTGAAACTATTAAATTTCTTTTCTTTGACAGGGCTTTGAAATAATAATTTCAAAGTATCTTTTTTTTTTTTTTCCTATTAAATTCATTACAGTCAGACTCAGTACAGGCTCTGCATTTCTGATCAAGAACTAAAAGAGTTTTTCTTTCATGTTAAGTCGGCCCAATCTAATTTAGGAACTATACTTTTTTATTATGATATTAAAAATGAAATTTAGGAGACCCCTTATTAGACAAATAAAAATATTTTCATAAACACATTATAAATTAAGTATCCTTATCTCCATGATAAATCTGAAGTGCATCATATTCCTGAAGTAGTTAAAAAAACTCTATTAAGTAACACCTAAGGACAGCTTTCCTCTGTAACAGGCTACTGAAACTGAAAGTATCTGGGTGCACCCCCTGTTAGACTTGTATATCCTCATGTTCCAGCTGACAGCATTGGCATACATGACTCAGCTACCAAGAATAACATATGACATGAAATGTATTAAAGATGAATAACAAGAGCAATAGAATGGCACATTTCTAAACATTCAAAGGATTAACAATTGATAAGATGAATCCACAGCTGGTGAGTACAAGGGTAGGGAAAGCAGAGAGCAGTCACACTTCAAAACTAATCTTATAACTTTTATTCAAGGCTATAAACATCTACAGAAGTTCCTAAATCTGAATATTGTTTGTACTTTTTTCCAGCCTTTAAAAATTACTGCTTCTCACGTATTTTCTTCTTCATTTACATTTGAACATACATTACTTTAAAAGTATTTTTCCTATGACCAAACTAACCATTTTCTATGTGCATTTCACCAGCTATTTATATGAAGTTTCACATATAATGCTAGCAACTACTTTTGCATTTTACTGCAGTATAACTTATTTTTATTGTAACATAACTAGTAAAGATACTCCATTATTGACTATATAACTGGGGTAAACAATTTAATCTAGGGACATATGAAAAACAGATATCTATCTGTATCATTTAATGAAGCATATTAAGTCATAAAGCCAGAGATACTTGGCAAACTCCTTGATGTTAATTTTTTACTTCTAGTACGACAGCTGGACCAGCCTAGTCTGCATCTGCAAATTCCCCCTTTACTCATCTTTTTTTCCCTGTTCTAAATATGATGCATTTAGAAACAGGGAGTAAAGAATACCTTAATATTAGTGCTAACTGTAGTTTAAATAAGACTACAGGATCATTTCCTTATGTGCTTCCTCCACTTTCAATTTTCTGTTAGTTGATTTTATCAGACAGATTAAGATTTATTCCCTATTAAAGCTATTAGCAAACCTCTTTTACACCATCTGCTGCTCATCTGTCCAACTTTTGCACAAACCTTACCCTCTGGAATAGAGTTTAGAGGAAATTTTAGGTAATCAGAATGCAAAAATTACAAAAAGGCCCACATTTTTAATTCAGCAGATGTATCAAGAGCAGTATTACTTCTCACTCTGAACTCCATTATCTTTCAAAAACTCTTCTTGCCATAGAGTGATAGGAAGATACAAATACTGCTTAGATAGAAGGTATCTTGCATATGTATTTCCATACATATCCTGCTAAGAAATTTGAAATTTTAAAATTCTTTAAGCATATGCAATCATATAGTTTATCTACGTTATGCTTAGCATTTAGTATATACACAAAGCATATCCACTCAAAGCCAATGCATGCTCTAATTGCAGTTCATTTGTATTATAAGACCATATGTCTAGGTAATTCCACTCAGGAATCGGGCTACATTACATCAAAAAGACTAATAATTAACTTCCAAACCACCCTTCCCTCCTGAGTCAGGCTCTGAAGTTAGAAGCTGCCACAAAACCAGAAGAGGAAGTAAGGTCCTAATGACCGAGTTGTGTCCCTTCCAGTTCAAAACACTGCTAATTTAAGTACTGCTGCTTATGAACTCTCGCTGACTCTGCGTTGAGAACTTTCTTACTCTATGACTCCTTCTGAAAGGCAAGTGTAGAACAGAACTTCATCCCTTCAAGTGCAATACACTTGCATTTCATTTTCACCCCAAAAATGATCCATAGAGAGTTTACAGATGCTGCTTTCTTCAGGGTTTTTATGGGTTGGTTTGTTGGGTTGTTTTTCTTTTTTGTAACATTGACTATGTCTCAAACAACTTTTGTTCTTTGGCATTTACATCTGATGATTTTGCAGAGAGCAACTGAAACCTCTCTCAGCCTGTATTTTAATGAAAACAAGTATCCTGTAGGAAAACAGATTTTCTATTGTTGCTCTTCCTCATAGCTCTGCTCCCACTTGCATTTGTAATCTAATGAGTATCCTGGAGAAGGTTTTTCCAATGTTTTGTGATTTCAGAGTTGATCAATATTTCTGTATTTCTCTACTGGAATTATTTTGCTTGATAAACAGCAATTGTCTGACTAACCCAGAATAGTGGCTCAAAGCCATCTTGAGATTGCTCAATACATTAAACATCCTCAGTACAGTCCCCCATTCCTTTTCTCTTCAATCACTTCCAACCAATCAGCTCCATCTTTATACAGAAATTCTTGCTGCTATTGTCAACAGCATTACTTAGTTCTGTAACTTCATCTGAATCCTTCTGCTTATTTTTCCAGGCTGAATCTGTATCATCAGCACATTTCATCAAGATATTCCTGATTTTGAGCCAAGGTCAAAGCATTAAATAGGATCAGCTTTGTGACTGATCTCTGAGAAACTCTATCAGACAACAGTTAACCCATCACTGTAAGTTGTAAGACAACTCCATCTGCCAGTTCACAAGTCACTTTGCAATTCCTCTCTCAAACCCCATCTTTCCTAGTTTAGCTAAAAACTTCCATTATCACAGTTTATCAATTGTTTCATTGACATCCGACAAACTAGATCCATTGTGCTTCTCCCACCTGAGAAGAAACTACCGTGCTTTACTGGAGAATGAGATACGTTAATTCCCAAGAACCAACTGCTGAAAAAGTCTGCTGCATTTTCCTCTCTATCTACTTCTAGGTATTCGATTACGCTGTCCTCCATTTCTTCAATGGAGTAAGACTACTAAGATCAGATTAATAGGAGTCTGGTTATGTGGACTGATCTCTTTCCATTTGTTAAGTTACATCAGGTTAACTGTCACCTAATAGCACAAACCCATGCATTTTGGTTTTGGTTTTCTGGGTTCAAGGGCTACGATGTGACATGTTAGCATTACACAGGGCTTTCTTTCCAATTCTTATCTAGTTAGTTTTGGTGTCTTTTTGGTGCCTGCTTACTCTTTTATCATCCTAAGTGACTGCTATTCCTTCATTCCTGTTATTTGCTGATTCAGTAGCAATATTTAATATGAGAAATAGGAGCATATTCCTCACTAACAGCTGGTATAGACATTGTTGCCTTGCTGTGATAGAAGCCAACTCCTTTCACCTCCTTTTATCTTAAATATTGTAACAGTGTCCTCTAGAATCACTCTTTTTCCAGTCCTCCACAACACAGACTAAAGAAAATGGACCACATTTCCATACCTAAATAAACCCCATGCCATTCCATTTCTTTCCTGCTGATGTTCAAGTATGCCCTCCTTATTAAAAGCATATACGATACTTCTCCAAACCACCACTTGGAACACTGTTCTCTTTTTCACTTTACCTGTAGTTAACTCTGGTTAGCTATTTGCAAGAAGTCTGTTTTAATGAACTGCTGGTGTTTTAAAACCACAGACTACAACTCTGATATTCCTGCAGGATGAGGGAAAACTGTGTGTTCTACCTTTTTCCTCACCGTCTGCCTAAATAAGACTGTGCACAAGAAATACAAATAGTCTATTCATGCACCAGAGGGTTAACATTGCCTGAAGCTTTAGTAATTTTTCAGAGATGCTATATACAAATATCTAGTAAATCACTAAGCTTGTCCCCACTCCTAGACCATCCAAGAGATAAAACTGGGAATACACAGATGTCGGATAACAGAGAATAATCTCTGAGTTCCAGGGAAATCTAACAGCCAGAGAAGAACAAAATACCTAGTCTAAGCCCCCCTGCCTCTGCCAGAAACATGGTTACTGCCTGTACCAAATGAATTGGGACTGACATGAGGTGTTTCTTTTGCATAAAGATACAAAACTGGGAGAGGCTGCTCTTTTGAGGACTGTAGACTATAAGCAGAAAATATTTTGAGAAACTGAACAGACTGAAATACTGGCATTTAATACAATTAGAGCACGTGAGAAGTCTGACACTGAGGTAGCAATGAACAGGGCATGGGGGAAGAACCTGGACAGAAAG